CTGCCTCAGGATGTCCTCCTGCAGACACACTGAGACACGTCCACTTAGATATATTAACCTGTAGTCTTCAGGATGTGTTTGCAACCACACACAGGTTATAGCGTGTGTTATAGCATGTGTATAGGGCAGCGTGTGGCTCAGTGGGCTAAGCCGTGTGCCTGTAATCACAAGGTTGCCGGTTCAAGCCCAGCCTCAGCACGTCTGTGGGTCCTTGAGCAAGACCTTCAACCCCCAGCTCCCTGGGTGCCACTACAGGTGGCTGCCCTTCGCGGACAGCTTGCTCTACAAAGAGCAAGTTGACGGAGGCATAAAAACAATTTCCCCATGGGGATCAATAAAGTATCTATTATTATTAGTAATAATAATAATGTTCATACCTGAGCATAACTGCCAGTGTGCAAGAAGTATTTATTGATGAGAAGATTTGAGTGTATTACACCAAATTTCATACATAAATGAAGCAAAATGAATATGCAAACTCATTTACATTTAAAAAATGGTAACAATAAAATGCAAATTGCAAACGAGGGGTACTGGTTCCAGAACAACATCAGAAAAATTCTTTAAAGGTTTGGTGGCATTTTGCAGACCACTGTGCACGTCCACAGGAGTGGAAGGAGGGCACGGATTGTTCCTGCCTGGTCCCTTTGACATCTACTGTGACCATGTGTCACCACTCCTCCTGGGGGGGGGGGGTGCTTTTTTGGATCCGCTGGGGTTGCGGACAGAAGGGCCCAAAAGGGTCACCGTGGACTGTATAGCACGCGAAACCAATTACCCCCAACTGGAATTAATTTAATCTTCATTCTAATATCTGTTCATTGACCAGCTGAGCTCTGTACTGGTTTCTAAAAGCAAACACTGATGGCATCCAAGGGAAGCAGCATTCTGGGAAGGGAGAGAAAATGTTGTTGAATAAGCCCCTAATACACATGTTGGTTACACACATTAGTTATTCCATGGATCACGCCTGGAGACACTAGCTGCCTCCGCCTGAGCAACACAGACAGGCAACGGAGGTGCCCATCTCCCATACTGCAGCCCCAGAACCACAGTCCTGCGCGTCTCAGAGCTGCCTTTCACTTATCTGCTAAATAATACCTATTGTCACTCTCCGGTTTCAGCAAATGTATTCAGGGCTCTTCAGTTCTGGTCCCAGAGCTCAAGAAGGGTTTTATTCAACCCGGCCTACAGTACTGAGCACATCTGAACTGAACCCATTTAACACGCTGTCATAGTGGCTCTTAGTGCATAATGAGCTGGACGTCATGCACCGCATCGCCGTTCTAAGATCTTAGCTAAACAGCCGTGCATAAACATGTAGGAGGAAACGCAGCGTGTAAGGACCAGTGACGTTCAGAAGCTGGACGTGTCCAGTCCCTGTACAGATTGTGCCTTTCATGGGAGGTGCTGACCATCTCCCATGATTCACTTCATACCTCAGTGAATGTGAATGTAATTTAAGGCCATAATGAAAAAAAAAATGGGAAAGTGAAAATTCTGAGAGTGAACACAATCCAAGGTGACTGTCCAAGCACTGTACAGAAGCATAACTACTGGCAGTGACAGATGGCAAAAGGCAAGTGTGGGATTCAGTCACACGAAAGGTTGAGATGACAAGAGAAGCACAAATATAATAGCAACAATTTATAGAAATTGGATAGAATGAATTACATTTTATTTGCGCTAATTACATTATGTCCCAATGAATAAAATTATTTGACCTTCATTTATCTTTCTTATATGCTCTGAACATGATACTTAATGTTCTTCTTGGATCAACATCATAATTTTTAGCTTCTAATCCTTAAACCCCAATGTTTAGTTTTTTCATTTGATAAAAGCAAAAGCTTTCGTGAAACTGGAGGTTTATTATTTATGAGGCTGTTGTTGAGTGAGAGATGCCTTCTGTTCCAGCTACAGCTTCTCAGACACCTAAAAGCTTTCCACTTCAAAGCCAGATTTCCCTCTTAAAGACAGAGACAAACGCCATGCCTGTATTTTAATGCAATGCCCATGCTTTTATTCTCTTTAAAATGCCAGCATGAACAAAATGTACACATTCTCACCTGCTTATGAAGTGTTTCTTACGGCTGATCTACAACTGAAGCAAATTCCAAAATAACACTGATACAAAAATATTAACAACCTGATGAATCCATGAAGTTATTCATATGCTCCTGGAAAAGACTTTTCTATTTCTCTTTGTATTTTCAGTGTGACATTCATTATCTGGCTTCCTGGAGAAGAAGCTGCTGTATTATTTATGTGCAATTTAACAGGATGCAAAATGCACAGATTCAGTGTTTCACTCACAGCTTTTCATGTGAGTGAATAGAATGTGTTTTTACTCTCTGACTGATTCCATTTCTAATCTGCATGCAGAATTTTGATTGGCTTTCAAGCCACATTATAATATGCAGCCAAATGTTGATTGGCTGGAACCTGCTGTGGGCATGGAGCCTCAGCTATTGAAAATACAGATAAAAAGGAGCTTGAAAGCTGAGAGACACAGAGGCATCTGCTAGCGTTTGGACAGACTCTGTCACTTTAGGTTCACTTCTGTAAGTATTCTTTGATATTTAAATCAAACCTGTAACAAAGGGTATTTCAGAAGCAAAGACATTTAGCTGGAATCAAGACTGTACTTTAAAAACCTCGAAGTCACATAAAAGGACAGGAAGTCCAAGGGAAGAGCAAGAGGCCCAAGGAAGAGAGGATTTCACAGAGGAAGAGGAACATGTCTCTGGACGTGAAGGAGAAGATGCACGTGCGGCTGGTCTTCCTGGGAGCTGCCGGCGTGGGCAAGACGGCGCTGATCCGCCGCTTTCTGCAGGACACCTTTGAGACCAAGTACAGGCGCACAGTGGAGGAGCTGCACAGCAAGGAGTACGAGATCAGCGGCATCAAAGTGACCATCGAGATCATGGACACCAGTGGGAGCTACTCCTTCCCGGCCATGCGGAAGCTGTCCATCCAGAACAGTGATGCCTTCGCCCTGGTCTACGCCATCAACGATCCCGAGTCACTAGAAGCTGTGAAGAGCCTGCGGGACGAAATCATGGAGGTGAAGGAGGACAAGTTCACGCCCATCATGGTGGTCGGCAACAAGTCCGACTTAGATGGTGAGCGGCAGGTGAGCAGCGAGAACGTGCTCTCCACACTGGAGATGGACTGGAACAACTGTTTGCTGGAGGCCTCGGCCAAGGAGAACAGCAACGTGATGGAGGTTTTCCGGGAGCTGCTGCAGCAGGCCAACCTGCCGAGCCGACTGAGCCCCGCCCTGCGCCGCCGCCGTGAGACCTTCCCCAAAGACAGCAGCCTGCGGCCGCCCATGAACAAGACCAACAGCTGCACGGTCTCCTGAACACCAAGGGACAGCTGGAGGGGGATGCCTAGCAGAATTGAGCTGGGGTGTGTGAGGGAGAGAGAGAGAGAGACAGGACGAAATCGAGTCCAACACTGAAGCATCTTAATTCCCTAGTCCCCCCCCCCCCCCAATTCACCTTAGCTTTCCAAGGGACCTCACTGAAACGGACAGTTGCTGTCAATAATGAATTTCATTATGAAAGCTGCACAGTCCCCTCGTGTGGGAGATGTCATTTCTGATTTAAGTTGAATGGTAATGAGAATGTAATGCGAGATCATGGAACAGAAGCGTCCCATCGTCCCATACTTTCACTGTAACGGTCCTGAGGTGACAGCGAGCTCCTGGTGTCCCGCGTGTAAATCAGCACCCGGCGTTTCAGTGTATCTGCGTTACGTGTCGCAATGCGCGCAAGTTTTTCCACTTGCGATAAGACTTCAGCTTGTAGCAGAGTGTAAATGTATATTTGCAAAACACACATACGCTGCAATCTTGGCTTACTTTCTATTTAGTTTTAATCTGGGGATTTGTAATTGGATGGAGAAAGTCTTCAAGAAGCTGTTTGTACTTTACTTTTTAATGTAATTAATTGTATTGTTTTCTTATTTGCCAATCTTTTTGCTGTAGTAAATCGATGGCACAAACTGATTCAAAGCTTCAATGCAATGGGTTTTGCACTTTGATTTCGAAAAGATCATTTAAGTATCGTTTTATAAAACGTTTAACAGATTTTTTTTAATTTCTTTTTTTAATAAATATGAAAGATGTTTAAATGTTTGATTTTAAATGGAATGTAGGTATATAGCTAAATAAATGTGAAAAATACTAAACAAGAGAAAGCGCGTGGATATTAAGTTATGTTTTTTCATCCAAAGGATCCCATTCCATCCAACAATAAACTAAAACGTGGAAATGCGCTTTATATATAACATCGTTACATTGGTTAATAGGAATGTCATCTCTAAGGTACCGACCTTACTATAGTACTATAGTAACGGTGCAGTCAGTGGGAAAGGACGTCAGGCGAGAAGAGTGGGTGAGAAAGTCCTACAAAGGATGATTCTTTGTTATCGTTATCATTTAATCATTTCTTACAGCAATCAGATGTGACTATACGCGGAAGCTCTACCAAAAGCACCAACAAGCCAAGGACTAGACTTACCGCACAATTTAGCTTAATTAAATAATCAATCATAAAGTGATTAATCTGATTGGAAAATACCTTTTAAAATGTTTAATTACGTACCAAACTGATTCGGCCTTTTTGTGTTTGGAACTTAGAACATGCCTTTCTTGCTATTATAGGAACTAGGCGTTTGATTTACGCCTTAATTGTTTTACTTATAAAATAGTCTAACAAATGTATTACATTCATGAATCAAGTCAGACGCTGTTTTCGTTTCTGCGTCAATATAGCACGAGCTTACAATTAAAGTCAGTAAAACTATAGAAAATTAACGAGGGTTTTGTAACGTTAACGATAAATGGTAAACGATGTATGATACATTTTTACTGTAAGGACGGTTTGACATAATACGAGCATCATCACGCGGGATCCGCTGCTACAGCACGGAAGCGCCGCGAAAAGTAGCCGCGTTTTTGTACATATGTGGACATATATCGCCTTCTGGTGGCCGATATTAAATAACTTAAAACTGGAACTTGATTGACGATGGAGTCGAACGATTGACGAAGACCGACAGTAAACGACTTTAAAACACAATAAAATTATAGTATTTTCCAAATGATTCAAGTGAGCGATATTGTGCTCATGTATCTGTTTGCAACTTAACTAATTTCTTGGATTTGTGAGACTTGACACACTCCATCCTCTCCTTGGTATATAAGACACAAGACAGGAGAACAGGCTGGATGCGGTGTTCGTCCGTCATGGGGCACGAACACACAAACCCACGTGACCGGCAGTTGACAAATGACATTTTACCTGCATGCCAGTCTGTGAAATGCAAAGGGAAACTGGATTAGCCATAGGAAACTCATATTAACATGGGGAAAGCATGCAAACTCCACACTAAGTGGGATATAAACCCCGAAGCTGTGATGTAACACTGCAGCCCACTGAGCTTCCGTGTTTCACTAAGCTTGATCCTAGTTTCCACAGGGCTCTTTTATATAGTGCCTTTGCTGCTCTGAATGTTTTTCCAGATGCCCTTTGACACTTCAAAGCAGATACTCATTTATCAGTGTGCTACAAGGAGCTGAAGATTTCAGCAGAAGGAAGCAGATTTTAAAAGAATAAACAATGTGCATATCAAAATAAAAGACTGGGTGTACAAAAGAAATAAAATGCAGGCTCAACAAGAAAATCTTGGCATGTGATTCTGTTTCGTTAAAGATAAATGATAAAGCATAATGGAAAAAATGTAAGGCGTTTCTTCCATTTCCAGCAGATTGCAAAATAAGTAGCTGCATATAGCCATGGTATGTATGCATGTCAGTCTAAATGAGCGATTTATGGGTTCTCCATACATTTTGATTACTAGCTTATTTACATCAGAAACCCCAAGACAAATCAGTCAATCCTGTGATCCTTCAGGACTGGTGACCTTGGTCATTAGGAAATGGTTTTGATTTTTGTAAAATCCTGAATTACCTCAATTTGTTCGGTAAGAGGTTGAAATACTGAAAATGAACACGTCACCAGTACTATTGTTACTGTAATCTACCAACAATCTCGGCTGCTACTATGTACCTGCATTTCCAAGTTGTTCCGTGCTGCCCCCCCCCCCCCCCCCGACCTTCCTGTCTCCCCTCACATGGCCCTGAAGAGCCGCGCCTGTTGCTTGTTGCCCCTCCTTAGTCTTTGTACTGAAGTCCCTGTTTGTCTCACCATCCCAGTCCGGTCATTAATGGTGCTCCTCCCGTCTACCCATGTCCTTCCTGATACAAAGTCTTCCCATTCTGACCCCTCATGGTCCCGTTTGTTTTCCAGCCCTGTTTCAGTTTTGTCCAGGTTATGTTTCAATAACCCCCCCCTCCCACAAACACCTGCCTTTAGTCCTTTGTCCCACGTTACATGGCACAAGTGACAGGTCAGATGTAATACACTCTTATTCTGGAGAGGAAGCAGAAAATACCCTAGTGTGTATGAAGGCTGTGATTCTGTACGCTCAGGGAAGCAATTTAACTGGAAACGCAAGCAAAATAAAACAACCCCATCATACAATGGGAATTGTTTCATTGCTTTGAATGAAAGCATCTGCAAAGGGGCAATATTCTGTTTTACTCTGCTGTTATGCTTCCAAATGGGCTGCAGGCTGGACGTGGGAGGGCTCCCCAAGTCACCTAAAAGCAGACACCTCATCTGCACGCTTCTCATTCGCCAGAACTGTCACACCAGGAAGTGACCCGTGACCAGCTGCTCTCCATCTTCACCTTAATTCTCATCTAAATGCTCATTCGTACCACCTCAGCACACTCTCAGCCCACTGGACTAACGCACCTTTGAAACCTTAAACATGTACCCTGCAAAAATATTATTTACAACCTGGACACATTTCTGCCAGGCGAACTGAAACGCAACAAACACAGTTAGTCCTGCTACAAAGCAACTAATGCACTGCTGAAAACCACGTGTTCACTAAAATCACATGCGAAAATAAACATATCTGTGGGGAAAACAGGGTTAGGGGAATTAAACTCCAAAACTCAGTAACTTACAGCAAACGAAATAAATTAATAAGAACACCAGTGGCCAATAGTGTAATTATATGCATTTTAAATAAGGAACAATAATAATACATTAATGAATTATATCATAAACATTTCTTATCGGTCTTATGAGTGGCACGAGAACGGCCTAGTAACCACTTCAACCAAACGTACCGAACTCGGTATCTTGTAGATTACCGAGGGTCAGGAGCAGTGATGGCCAAGTCGACGCATCATGGACCGTTTGTCGTGTTTTTTGGCCTCACTAGACGGGGTTCTTGGTTTACTTTGAGGCACACCTTGAACCTTCTTTTGAGCAGAGAGCACCATCTAGTGGGTCAGAAAATAGAGCAAATGGTTCACAAATGGAGCGTGGTTTTGACCATCATTAGCCGGGAGTAGTGAATCACAGCCGCCGTGTGGCTGGTCAAACACACAGCACCAACGCAATGGATTGCGGTTTGTGTAGGAGCACCGAAGGCAACATGGCTACAGTCTACAAAAAGCAAATGTAAGTGCATAAAACACGTTGCTGTGTTTTATGTGATAATGTCAGATATTTTTAGATTTTCTTAATCTAAGACATTGCCCTGTGCGATGTGTGGATGTACAAACAGTTTGATTAAAAAAGAAGTACACTCCACAATGCTGAATTTGATTTATTTCAGTGCCATAAAAATATGACATGACAGAAATCATCTCAATGTTTGACAAACGTGCATTTGGATGACCTTAAGAAGTTTAAAAGGTAGTGTAGTTAAAAAAAATCTATATACCCTTTTATTCTGACCATTACACAAGAGAACAGATTAGTGATTTCTCTCCCACAAAACATCAAGAACAAGTGCTGCATTCATAAAACAAACCTGCATGTGAAATTTACATATTGAACTCTGAATGCAAGTCACTGTGCCATAGAAGGAAGATCATTAATTTTGTAGCATTTTATGTACTGGGGAAGGAACTTATCAGACAAAAGTAAACATTGTTCTATTTAATAACAGTCAGAGGCACCAAGGTCACAAATTATAGTGCTGCAATTTCAGGCCCCTCTTACTGTTGATAACAGACATCAGCAACAAACCGACATGAATCAAAACTTCCAAAAGAGTATTATGACCTTATCACAATCCTCTCTCATAAAGGCTTACAATGTAGATCCCTTCAGGTGTAAACTTAATCATTTAAAAAAAACAACTTCACAGGACAAGGACAGAAAAATGTCAACAGCAGCATGGGCTAGTGGGCATGAAGTCCACTCAAAGCTTGCAGTGCATGTTATGTACACACACATTTCAAGTAGCTTCAAAGTAGACTTCCAAAAAGCGTGAAAAGGGCTATATTTAGGAGACCATTTTTTTTGCTAGAGCTTTAATCCCAATCATGATATAAACATAGCTGAAGACATTTTTACTTTTGTTCAAAAGCATTTTATCTATCATCACAGCATGGCTGCAGTAAACACTGAACTGTGCAAGGTTACAGTGTGGGTAAAATGGATTTTTTTTTCCCTTTGAATGAAACAGAAGCTCTTGATCACTGAGAACTCCACTGAAGAAGCATCTTTAAAAATGCGGTTTTCATAGTTGGGCTGGCAAACCAGCAAAACCCCATTAAGGAAGGGCAAAAAATAATCAAGTACTGTCACAGTGAAAAGTGAGGCCTTCAAAATTCAGACGACAGGATGATATACTGGACAGACTGACCCTGCAGACTTAAATCCTTTAAGTGAAGCTTGATTCTGTTATGGTTTAACTACAGATCATCAGTGGTACAACCTGTGCATGCAGATAGAGGAGCTGGAGGCTTTATATTGCATATTATGGTTAATTTTTACTAAATGAGACCTGTTGAATATAAGAAAATATACTTTGTACCCAAATAGAGAGGAATGGAATGTACTTGTATACTAAAGATGACAAGATGACAAAGTTTTTCTGGATGAAGCCCACAGCCTGTCCTGTATTAAGGATTACAGAAACTGAATGCATCAGTACCAAAGTGAATTGACACAATACAAGTCTACTTTTACAATTCAGAACATCTCAAATTTGTCCTTTAATGTCATGCATTTTAAATTGCGACCTCCTCCCAAGTGAATGTACAGATGGGGGAGAGA